GCTCGAAACGCGGAACGACGGTTCTGTTTCGAAGTGATCACACCCCAATTCAAACGTATTTACCAAGCGACATCCGAGGACGACATGTCCAATTGGATCAGGGCTATCAACAACGCGCTGCAGAGTGCGGTTGAAGGCCAGGAGACTCCGCCTCCCTCCGCATCTAGGAATGATAGACCGACCAGTCGGGATATTGGTTCCGCTCTAACAGGGAAAAGCTCGTCTGTGTCTGGTCACCACTCCCATTCCTCCTCTAGCTCAGCCAGCAACGCTGGCGTCATCCGCCGAACAACCGTCGGTGCGCGCCCAAGCTATGTCCGTCCTGATAGCAACTTTGAAGAGAATCCTGCAAAGCTTCTGCAGGTTGTACGGGATGCGGATCAAGGCAACAACTGGTGTGCTGATTGCGGATCATCATCTAAAGTTGAATGGGTGTCCATCAACCTTGGAATCATTCTCTGCATTGAATGTAGTGGGATCCACCGCTCTCTGGGCACGCATATATCCAAGATTCGCTCTCTCACATTGGATGTACATTCCTTCTCGAATGATATCGTCGAGATTCTCCTGCAGATTGGCAACCGCGTTAGCAACATGATTTGGGAGGCGACCTTGGATCAAACTCTCAAGCCGAGCGCCAGTTCTACACGAGAGCAACGGTTGAAATTCATCACCGCCAAATATGTTGATCGAGCCTACGTTGAGAATCTGCCTTCACCACGTTCTCGCTTCGCGACGGCCGATGAAACGCTCCTCGCGTCAATCAAACAGAACGACATCCAAGGCGTCCTCTACGGCCTCGCCCTGGGGGGCAACGTAAATATAACTGATCGCTCCCGCAACACTCACGCAACCTTCCTAGCCCTTGCCGCAGCCGATCCTGCGTCCCCAGGCGCCCCACCAACCACTCTTGCCGCGAGATCTAGCGCAAAAGCCATCCCATTCCCTATCGCCGAGCTGTTAGTCCAAAACGGCGCTGAGATCCCGCCACAACCTCCTTCCATCCCTCTCTCCCCCGCAGCCAAGCTGTATCTCAGCCAACGGACCGCCCGCACATCTGCCTTCAGCGTGCCTCCACCGCCGCTAGGTGGAAAGTCCTACGCAAACGATACCCTGGGCTCTCTCCCAACTATTCGCAGCAAGGAGTCTTCCTCTTCGTCAAACGCTTCAACTGTCACAGACAGCAGAGACAAAGACAGAGAGAAGCTCTCCAAAAGAGGAAGCGCTGGCGCTCGCTTTGCGGGAAAAGTGGCTTCACTTGGAATTGATCGATAAAGGGCTCCTCCTCCCCGCGCTTCATCTTGTCTATACCCCCCCGTCTAGCACATCAGCCGCGCCGCCCGTAATCGTAATTATATCAGTGTTTAATGAGATTCCGCATGAAAATTCCCCTCTGATGACTTTTTTTGATTTTCCTGCCGCTCTTTGTTTTCCGTTTCTGATGGTCAGGATATTTCTTTTTCGCCCTTTGGTTCTATGAGGGCCAGGCGGTGGTTTCTTTCTCTTCTTTTTCACTTCTTCGTATTAGTTCTTGATACTAGCAGCTCAATCCTTCTTTTGGATGGATGCGTACCACTTTCACACATTATTGTCTTCTAAGACAAATTCAAATATGGGTCGGGTCTGTGGTCTGTTGCCTTTGCCCTGCGTTCTGATCATTATATTTTATCGCGTGTAGTTGTGTCTCTCCATTCTGGGAGACTTGTACTTTTCGAGCTTTGGAAACCTCGGTCGGATCTACTACATATCACAGTGATCAATCCTGGCCATGCAGAAACCAGTTACCTAACAGTGGCAACACCAACCATCGCCGCCACACTTTGACCGCCAGCAGCTGACGAAATCTCGATCATAGAGTTGAAACTGCACATCCGTGGGGCTGTGGCGACTAGAAGTGCCCGAGGAAGGTAAGACCTGCAATTTTCTACACGGAAGTATAAGCACCTACTTTTCACTACATCCAAGATAGAGACGGATATATGGATATATGGAGGTGGAGATGTGGTGGCTGTGAAGAGTCGATACATTGCAACAATTCGCTCTCGGTCAATCACAATATGTACGAAGGATGGGGAATGGAGACGCCCTACTCAGATCCCTGCTGATCCCTGCCGTGATTGGGCTCTTCGTGTTTTTTTGTATGTTGTAGTGGGAGGAGCACAGCCACAAAGCCACTAATAATAGATAACGCGTTATGGATATTATAGAATGGATCAACTCGCTCTCTTGACACGGCCTTGACGGTCAAGTCCGACTGGCAGGTGTTGGTGTATACGTACGATGATTGATTCCCAGTTGAAAGCCCCAGTATGGCGTCCATGGACAGAAGGGCTTATGATTCTCATAGATCAGTATATGTTGTAGAAAGCATGGAGATGTGGGGAGAACGCCCATGACGTCAGAAATCCATAGTGACGCCTCAGGTGTCAATGTGGCGTCCAGTCTTTGAGCTGATCGCCAATTCCCTAATCGTCCGGACGTGGCTTGTTTCTTCATCAAAACATGGTATAGTGGAAGACGCCGGAGTACCTTTTTGAAAGATGGGTGTCATTACATCAAAGCTGCGTCAGTGACCCTCCACTGTCGTCAGTATCATCCTTCGGGTTGAATTGTACTTTTATTCTGTAGATTAGAGACTGTCAATGCCCGTTTTCGGGAAATCTCCGGGTTATACAACCCAATTGGAGTACTCCACTAGAGCTGGTGAGTCACATGACCCAGTTAAGAACAGCTCAAGTGACTGGTCAGTTGATTTGGAGAAAGAGTCCGGGGGTATAGGTCCAATGAGCCAAGTTATAACATACCCTGAGTGTATATAGTACGATATATAGTACAATGTATATAGTACATTGTATACTATGCTCTTATCCCCGTATTCCGTTATTCTACAAAGTACCATTCTCTGCTATCTCTTGTTTAGGGGATATGTAGTCTCGAATAGCCCGCTCTGATTGGCTGGGATGCGATCCCGGTGGTCAAACCGAGTGGATCCGACTTCACTTCCTTTTTGTCCCTTTAGCTTCTTCTTCTGTCGTCATTTTTCATTTTCCAATTGGCTCAATTCCCATGGAAGAAGTTTCCCTCGTGCTGGATGTCCAGATTCATGTCCTTCCTTTTTTTACAGGATCATCAAGCTCCATTTGACCCCCACCCAACGGTACGTATGTTTCCATGGCATATACATACTCTGAAACGGCAGTCAGTACTACCTTGTACAGCAACACGATGTCGCTCTTACCTCTGGACTGGGCTGGAACTCGAAATACTGCAATATACAACATTGTACAACATTGTACAACATTGTACCCCCAATATCCACGTTTCAAAGAAGTGAAACATCCCATTGGAACATCTACGAATCATGATAGTAGGAGTGTGTATCCAGAGCTCCTCCTATTGCCTTCCTCTTACGGTTCCAAAGGCCGTTGGATCCAGGGCTCATTCGGCCCTTCCGAGGTATATGATACATAGGTACCATAGGTACCTGTTGTACCGTTGTACCGTTGTACAGGTTGCACGGAACACACTCATACATACCATTCGCCCTGGGCGGTTTTCTCGACTCTTGAGTCTTTTGCCACACCCCTGAGAGTGGCAATTGTGTCTTTCACTTCGATTGGTTCCAGTCGAAGAGGCTCCTCGGGTGTGTAAGTCATTCCAATTTTTTTTTCACGCCCAACATAATATGCCCCAATCGCGACCATTGTGCTGGCCCCGCCCAGATACCCATCACAGGATGCAAAAAGAAAAGAAAAAAGGAAGACACAAAAAAATAGAAAAAAAAAAAAGACGGCAACCTGCAGCTCAGGGATACGGCAACAGCTGCTCGAATGACACGATCCTCGTTCTGAAATTATTTTCAGAATAATGCCCAATCTCCTATTCGACCATATAGCCCAGTTCTATATTAGCGACTCTAAATGCTATATACAGTATACACTTCCCGAGCACATCCCGCTTTTCTTTTCTTATTTTCTTTTCTTATTTTCTTTTCTTTTTTATATCTTTTCTTTTTTTTTATGCCTTGGAATATGTACTAAGCCATTGAGCCACAGCCTGCCAAGAAGAGTTGATTGGCTTCAATCCCCCCAGGGCCAGGATCAGGACCACCCCCATCAACAAGATCCCTCTGCAACGTTAACTTTCTCTTATTTACCCTTAGCTTCCCTTGGGCATCTTTATTTTTCTGCCCTATATCTGACTCCCGGGTGCTTTTTTTATTCTCGGGCCCTCGATTCTACACTATTTTAGCTCCTTCCACCAGCCTCCCTCGGCTCTTTTGTTCTCAATCCCATTTGGCCCAAAAACAGGTTCTGTCTAGACCATCGTCGAGTAACACAACGCCTCTTGAAACAAAACACTAGCCAAATTACTCGGTATGTGACCCTTTTTTTAACGGGGATGGTCCCCTGTTCTCGCAATGTACCTGAATTCGGTACTCTTCCCTGGCATGTCTAGCACTTCTTCCCCCTCCTCTGGCATGTATTGGCTGTCAGTTAGCCTTAAGCTTCCCCTGTCTCTGGTACCTAGCCCACTGTCCACCGTGGCTTATCTAGAATCCCTTTATATGTGTTTGTCCTACTTTGTTTTGTGAGCTTCGGCTTATGGCCTAGCAGGAGGGGGGTCAGTCCTGTTGACCGGTTTTCTTCCCCTTTCAATTTCTTACCATCACACACACATTCTATCCTTGATATTTTCTTCACAAAATCCGGAGAACTAACTTGCATGGCTTGGGCCTTTTCCTTCCCGGATTAGATCTTTGCACTTCCCCTCTTCTACGGTGTTCTGTTCTGTTCTATTCTATTCTATTCTACCGGACTCTTAGGGAAGTCTTACTTGCGTCGGTGGGATTTCTATAAGAATTCCTACACCGCGGTGACATCCGGGCTACGTGACTTAGGTAAGGCAAAGGTCTCGAGTAAGATGTGTCCATTCCCTACAGACACTAAAGACCCAGTAGTTTTCAAAAGGTTGCAATTGAAAGTCTCATCAACGGCCCCATGGGCAATGTTCCTTCAGACAAGACAGCTGACGAGACAGCCCCGATATCAGAACAGGGTTAGCCCTTCCTTTTCAAATGCCGTCCAAGCTTTGCCTGACTAAATCTCTTCTCAGGTGCATCTCCTACTTCAGCGCCACGTCCCAGTGTCACACATCATTCCAGCTTCGCAGAAGCTCGATATGGAACCGCCCCCTCTCCCTTAAATATGGTCATGGGATACAACTTCCCAGGCCATCATTCACAAGGCTATAATCCGCAGTCAATGCATCAGTACACAGCCCACGGGCAAGGCATGATGTACCCCATGCCAATGACTCCGTATGGACACAACTCCGGAGGCATGCCGTACGGCATGTCTTACCCTGCTTATCCGCCGTATGCCATCCCTCAACACCCTGGCCCTCAACCTCAACATCATTACCCGCCTCATGGAACCCAAATGCAAAACATGCCAAACCTCAGTCCCGGGCAAGTATCTCCGTATAGCTCGGGCTATTACCCTCATTCATCATACAGCCCTTATGGACATGGAGTGCCTGCCGGCCAAATGCCTCAGGCTATATCTCCAGTACGTACTAACACCAGTTCACCCTCGAAACCGGTCTCCTTGCGCAAAGAAGCCGATAAACGAATGACGGATCTGGAATACGACGTTTCAAAGACCATCGTGGATGGATCGAACCCCAAAAAATTAGCGCAGTCCCAACCACAACCGCCGTTCTCCAGTGAGCTCTTGTCGAATCCCCTCGCTTTGCAACCGTTACTAACCTGCATTCATCTAAAGACAATACTCCCCCTTCGCAACCACTCCCGACCGCTCCGAGTACCCCACGAGGACCACCCCGAAAGCCCAAGCAATCTGGCCACGCGCTGTGGGTTGGAAATCTTCCTCCCGGAGCCAGTGTCATTGATCTCAAAGATCACTTCTCGCAAGATGCAAAAAACGACATTGAGAGCGTGTTCCTGATCTCCAAGAGTAATTGTGCGTTTGTGAATTACAAGTCGGCTGCCGCCTGCGTCGCAGCTTTGGCGAGATTTCACGACTCCCGATTTCAGGGCGTCCGCGTTGTCTGCCGACTGCGAAAGGGGCTCACTGCTCCGGGCTCCGGGTCTGCAGCTCCGAATAATGCTCTCCGACCACGTTCGGAGGATATTGCTACGGCTACGACTACGACTACGACAGCTACGACTACTGCTACGACTACTGCTACGGACCCGGGCGAGGACCATTCAATCACACCGGAGCCCGGTTCCGCAGCGCCTGCTACGGGGAACCATCCTCCCCCGGCCCGGCTGGTAGATCGGTACTTTATTGTTAAGAGCTTGACAGTGGAGGATCTCGAGTTGAGCAAGCAAAGTGGCATTTGGGCTACACAGTCGCACAACGAGGCGGCAATGAATCAGGCTTTCGAGGTGAGTCCAAACCTATGTAGCCCAGCAATGACCGAAACTGACCTTTACCCAGAACACAGATTACGTTTATTTAATTTTCTCCGCCAACAAATCTGGCGAATATTTTGGATACGCCCGTATGATGTCGCCGATCAGCGATGACGAAGAACTGGCCTTGGAGATGCCATCTCGGCCCGATCCCCCGCCCGGCGGGCCCGACGAACTTGACGTGACCCTGACAGCGGCAACTTCGACAGCGCCCCAAGGACGAATCATCGATGATTCAGTGCGGGGTACTATCTTCTGGGAGGTCGAGTCATCGGAAGATGAGAACGACAATGCTAGCGAGAAAAGCGTCGAGCCCGAGGATCCAGAAGAGGGTCAAACCTTTGGCAAACCGTTCCGCATTCAATGGATTTCGACAGAGCGAGTACCTTTCCAGCGCACTCGAGGCCTTCGTAACCCTTGGAATGCGAATCGGGAAATCAAAATCGCTCGTGACGGTACCGAAATTGAGCCAACGATCGGGCGTAAGCTGATTCAGTTGTTTCATTTGCCTTGAGTTCCTGATTTCTTTCCATGTGGATGATCTCCTCTGTCTTTAGTTCCTGCGGTTATCAAGAGCTTCTTTGATGGTCTATGATTTATGATAGCAGATGTCGACAGAGGGGATTCATTCTGGAATAGGAATCAGAGACGCCACTTTATGGGAAACGAGCAATACACGATGTACGGCCATATTTATTTTCTTGAGCTACGAATACGAATGCTCTCCCTTTTTTCTGCAGGGATTAGCATTTGTTATTCTGCACGATAACCCCATTGTAGACGTTATATAGGTAATAGGTACATGAAGTACCAATATATAGTCTTATATGACATTCTAGTGTACTAATCTTCAGATGGCCATAGCAATTGAAGCAGTTGAACAATCAATCCAAACCAATCGACTAACTAATACCCTAACTAATACTCTAACTGATAAAATAACCTCATGTCAATAAACTGCTGAGTCAGCCATCGACATCACCACTCCACTTAGCGCCACTTTCCCCAGATAATGTGATGCTCAGCTCTCTCTACTCGGTGAACCTCGATATTTCCCCCTTCTCTCTTTCTCGTCTTCTTTTTTTTCTCAACTTATTCTCCAGACACTTCTCCCTTCTTTTATTTTATTTGTTCGAGTTCTGGTATCAATCTTTCAATCTTGTCTTGTCCTCAAATCAACATCCCCCACCATCGTTCCACATCGTTCCACCCTCCCCACCCTTCCAAGTGCTGAGATCATTCTCGTCACTTTGATCTCTATTGTCGAACCCTCTATTCTATGAGAAGGGCGGCTAGTCCGTCTACATTCCTGCTCTCAGTTCAACCCCGCTTCATTTGACAATGTCCAACGATCCAACCTCCCCCATCTCGGTCCCACATGCGGAGAACCGTCGACGTCGTGGGTCCATCGCCGACATATTCTCCAAGCCGAGCAACCCATCCAAAACCCAGGTTCCAAGCCAGCAATCCAACCAGCGTCGGCTGTCAATCAACACGCTGGGCCTCTCTGGTTCTCCCACCCAGGCATCCGCCTTCGGTGGCAATAGCAACTTCCGTCGAGGCAGCCTATCTAGCTCAATGGGCTCCAACGGTCCAGTCGAAGATGCTGTCGACGACAAGCAAATAACAGGAACCTCGCCCAACTCGCAGTTCGGGAGACGCGTCTCCTTTGGTGCACAAGCTCTGCGTGATTCTCGTGCAGGGAGCATAGGAAATGGTAGAAACTGCCCCCCTCCGGCCGGCTCGGCCATCGTTACCACCCGATCTTCCGCAAGTACTTCAACCTCGCCTCCGGATGAGAGATCTAACGTATCACGCCGACCCTTAGGCGAAGGCTTTAACTGGTCAGAGGCCCTCCGCTCTCGTGCTGGGCGTGCCCCTTCCTTCGGCGGCCCCGTCTCCCCACATCGTTCCAATGGTAACCACCAGCGTGCCGCTTCCATCGCATCTATGGAGCAGCCTAGCCGGGAAATTCCCCGTCAGCCTAAGCAGAATAAGCCGGATTTCTTCCAGGAGAAGATCTTGAGGGGTGACTTTATGGATTAGAGATTGGTTCTCGTCACTTTTCAAGGGAAGTATATCTCGATCGGTGCTGCTGGGCCTCCTCTGGCTTCTTTTTACTTTTTCTGCATTTGACGCCGAAAGTCTCAACAGACTTGTATCAATTCTAGGGTCTCCATCCTCTCGATGTGTCTTCCCAACCCTTTCCTTTGAAAATAGGTGGATATGTATAAAAAAAATGATTCATGGAGCGTCATCGACTTTTGAGTCTTTTTTTTTTCAGCTCTGGGATCGGCGTTTTCATATTTTTGAGCCTATTTCATACCCATCCCATCCTGGTGATGCGGATGACTTTATTCTTATGACTACCAAATTGACATCCATTGGTCACTCATTATTGGACTACATTTTGAAGTACTCTACATCTCCTATTTTCAGTATATACACTGAAAGTATGTTCATTACCCCTTCGGTCCATATACAGCCCACCACAGCCCACCACTTCAACTCTTCGTGTCACCCCAAGGTCACCCAAGGCCAACTCTCAAGAGAAATTCGAAGGTCCAGCCCCAGCATCATTCGCAGTCTCAGCATGTGAATGTCCAGGCACCTCCTCTTCCTTGTTATATTTCTTCGCAACCTTCCGATCCATAAGCTGATCGGTCGTGAGCTGATTCTCCGGTTCCGGGGGCTTCCACTTGCTGCTCTTCCACGGCGGCACGCGCATAACATACATCATGTCCATCTCCTCAAGCGTCTTATCCTTGCCCTCGATAACAAAGAAGTAAACAATAATCACCGCGAAGAACAAGCACCCAGCAAACACATACCCATATGCAAAGTCAATATCGCCAGTGATAAACGGCGTGAAGAATCCAATCAGGAAATTCCATAACCAGTTCGACGCAGTTGCCAACGCCATAGCCCGCGCCCGATACCGCGATGGATACAGCTCGGCCACAATCGCCCATACCATCGGGCCCCATGTCATGGCAAACCCGGTGATGAACAGACACGCAAATACAACCATTGCTTTGCCCGCTCCGGGCGTGTTCCGCGGTGTCTGAACGTCAAGCGAGAAGTGGCCTACAGACGCAAACACCATAAAGCAGATGAACATCCAGATCCCGCCTGCGATCAGAGACTTGCGTCGTCCGAAGTGCTCGATCACGTATAGTCCGCCGAATGTGGTGCCGAAGTTCACCCCGCCTAGGATCATCTGCGTCACGAATGTGTTGTCTATCCCTGCCCCGTTGAAGATCACCGTTCCCTATATATATATATATTAGCAAAGTGCGGTGTCTATGTCGAAATAAAACACTCACATAATAGAAGAAGTAGTTAGCACCGGTCAGCTGCTGCAGAGCTTGAAGCACTACACCAAGTACGATGCGGTACGTCATGCGCGGCGCCTGGAACATCTCAAGCCAACCGCGGATCCCGTCTTGCGCCCCCTCCTCGGCATCCAGCTGTTCCTGGATCTCGGTAATCTCATGCACGATCACCCGGTGATTCTCGGGTATACCGTACAGCTTCGACATGGTGCGTCGGGCGCGGTCTATACGGCCATTCCGGTAGTCGAAGCGAGGACTCTCCGGGAAGAGGAGGATACCTATTCCAAGGACGAGAGCCCACAGGAATGTGATACCAAGTGGGATTCGCCACGATGCGGTGCTGTCCATAGTTTCTGTGCCAAAGTTGATGCAATATGCGACGAAGATGCCCAATGTTACAAATAATTGGTAGGAGCTGGGTTGTGTTAGGGTTATGGTCAGTATCTTGCAATGTTGAGTATTGGATTGTTACTTACCACACCATCGCTCCTCGGATGTGTCGTGGTGCAATCTCACCCTGGTACATAGGAACCAGCAGTGAACAGGCTCCTACACCGAACCCAGTTATGAATCGTCCCATCATGAACTGGTACCATTTTCCTGTTGGCGAGGAGATCTGGATTATCAGCCCGACATGGAGGATGATGCACCAGAAGAAGATGGACCATTTTCGACCAATTCGATCGGTCAGTGGTCCGGCGAGGAGAGCTCCTATCAATGTACCGATGGAGAGCTGGAAAGCGTTAGCTTTTGCCACATTCACGCATCTTCCGACTTCGCCTTTCAAAGACTCACCAGGGAAACAATCAACCCAGACCGAACATTGTTAAACTTATACGTCCCGTCGGGCTTCAGCTGCGCAAATCTCTGCTTGAAGTTATTCATCTCCAAAAAGCCTGAGATTTGGCCAGTATCATATCCGAAGATGACACCACCAATGGAGACAAATGCGCCTAGCAACACAGATCTCCATGTCACCCATGGCACACGCGACTCGTCCATGTTGCTGCCTCTCTTTTCACGATCCGCTATCGCTGACTCTCCCGACAGGTCCGTCAATGGCGGGGACTTGGTCCCTGTCCCTCCACCGCTGAGCTTATTGAGGAATGAGATTCTCATCCTTGAGATGGGAGATGGGGGTTATATACAGTAAGAATATGTAGTTTCCATGTATCCAGGTTCGATGTTGGGACTGCACCCAAGGATTCTTGCACATTATAAAGGTCTGATCTAAGTCCAGTGCCTTCGCATCGTCATCTTGCCACTTCCGGCACTACGATGTGTAGATCCTCGTGCCTTGAATGTGCCACCCTGAAGTCTGTTATATATGAGTATCTCTATCATTGCTGAGGTAACTGTATATGCCGAATTTACATGCATTTTCATCAGTCTATCTTCTATCCTATTTCCTGCGGATTATCTCTAATATCAGGGGTGTTATGGATGGCCCGATCAGTACGCCGTGGCGCCGGCGAAGTCGTGACGTCAACCATACACTTCGGGCAAAGTGACAGAACATGATAAATGCATTATATATTTATGGAGAAAATGTCTTGTGTAAGTGTAACACAACATCTATATAGTCTTAGTAAGGAATACCGTTGGTCATCAGTTGGAACTGATCATAACCCTTAGTCGACACGCTCATGTACGACTTGCGCACAAGTTCTCGCATGTACTCGGCTGCATCGCGCTCGCTCTTCTCCAACACGAACCGGTCACGGAAATTCTTCAGAGTCTCGGGCTTGAAGCACGGAAGTCCACTGTCAAGCATGAGGGAGACAATGTTGCCCAGTTTGGTGCTATAAGGGCGAGATGCAAGGTATGCCTTCACCACCAACGACTCGAACCATCGGTATGGCTGCGTGTTGGTTGGGTTGTGGGAGCTGCCTGGCAGGTTAATGCCCGAGTTACCACCCTGGTGGTGAGCTGGGTCATGGGTTCCACTCATGACGGCGACCATCTCCGAGGTCAACTTGAACGGCGCGCGCTCGAATCGCACGCCACCAGGCGCGATATCGAAGCAGAATCCAAAGTCAATGTGGATGATATGGCCGGCGTCATCAATCATAATGTTTCCGTTGTGTCGGTCCTTGAATTGCAGCAGGTAAGAGATGACTGAGTAGGCGGCCATACTCTTGACGAAGTTGGTGCGCGCTTCTTGGAATCGGATAGAGTCCTCGCCTCCGTATTTCGACACGAAGTAGTCATAGAGCCCGTTGACGGCCTCGCGGCCGAGCATGTCGCGAGAAATGGAGTTGGGAAGCACATCAATCACACCACAGCCAGGCGCTGTCGAAGTCACCCGGTAAGGGTAGACCCAAACGTCTAGACCGACACTGGTGAAGATGCTCCTGAAGGCCGCAATCATTTGCAAGGCAAGCATGTCCTGGCGACAATCGTCACCGACTTTGAAGATGGCTGACTGCCACACTTCATATGTCTCCTGCTCAGGCTCGGAATGATTCGTCAATTGGCGCTGGTGGTGATGGTCACCAGCGTTGGCCTCGGCCTTTTGAATCAATCGTGGTCTCGTCTTCTGGATGCGGAACGTCGCCATATAAGGTGCTTTTGCGTGACTTTGCAAGGGTTTGCCAGACTTGCGGTCAATGCCAATGACTACACCGTCAGGGTTGCTAGGAAGGTACACTCCAACTTCCACCTTGATCTTACGCAACTCTTCCTCGATCTTTTCCTTCTTCTCAGGCTTACTCCTCTTGATGTAAGGGCGAAGTTTGCCGGAGACGTCCGTAACTTCGTTGAAGAACGAAAATTCTCTCTCATAGAACGCACGCTCCTCGCCCGAGAAGCTTGAGATCAAGTTATCTAGGAAACGGTCGAGTGTTCCTTTGATAGGGTCCGGCTTGAAACAGGATGTTAGCTAACGGTGACCAAGTTGACAATATCAATACTTACAATCTGAGAATCCTCGTCCTTGTAGGAGTTGGCCTTCATGTTCCAAATAACTTGGTGGGCAAACAGCTGAGACAACTTGGCTGTTTCGAGGATATAGCGGTCCACATAACCCAGAGCATCGTAGCGCAGGGCCTGAATAAGTTGTGGCACAAAGTAGAACCGAACATCCATCGAATAGCTTTCCAGCGCCCGCATGGCATACTGCAAGATATAAGGATGGTTGCCGTAAGCGGGCATGAAGTATGTGATCGCCTCCGTAGGAGTAACAGGAGCCCAGTATAGCATGTATTTCAACTGAGAACCGACGTCAGCAGGCAGACAGTTGTCAAACATAAGCTCCAGAGCGCTTGGCTCCTCAATGACCTTCTCGGGGAAATTGAGTATCAGTGACCTAACATCAGCCTGCATTTTGGGTGACGGGAACCGGGCAGCCATCTGAATAGCCAACCCTGCATTTTCCGCCCAGGCAAGCCGAAGTAAAGATACGGGGCCGTCATCGAGATTCTTGCCACCAATCGAAGGCATATGGTGCTTTCGTTCCGGTTCCAGGGGGAAGAGCCAAACTCGAAGGCGTGATCGTTCATTCTCCACGAGGATTTGAAGCAGGTCTTGTTTGGCTTGCAAAGATTTGCATGACCCTTGCGCATTGGCAGCGATACCTGCCACGGCTCGTAAAGCTGCGGTCACCTCGCTGAGAATTTTGTCCTCTGCCTTAATCTGCAGCCGATTGCCTCCGAATGACCACCTTGGAGGGTGCCTAAACCAACTCAAAGCAGCAGACAGAATCCGATCCTT